TGCCACCTTGACCGTTCGGCCATCCGGCCGCTCCATTAAACATAATATGATAACTATTAACGGCCGGATGGCCGAACGGTCAAGGTGGCAGCTTACCGCTCTGGGGGACCCGGGATCGAATCCGGACGGGTCAAATAATTCCCAGGAATTTTTCGGGGAGTGGTCCGTTCGGATATGTCGTGCCCCGTCCCTCACCACCCGGTCGCCCCATTGTGGGCCTGGCCGAATCCATAATGGGCTTGCAAAAAGAGGCCCTCTTAGTGCCCACAGGGCGGAAGGAGTTAAAAAAATTACATTTAATGGTAATACGAGACTTTCCATAAATTTGTAAGAAACTCTTGGACACGGGTCGAGTTATATATACTACAGTAATACCTCGACTTACGCTACCCCGACTTACGCGAACCCGGAGTTACGCGATTTTCAAATCTCGTCGATTCGTCTTTTGTTTGAACGCCACGCAAGTCTTGATTACTCACTCCCCCCATACTATTGTTCAGCTTACATGTTCGGACGTGTCGCGCGGAATCGACACATAGCTACAATTTATTTTGTTATTTATTTCTGTGTTTGTTATATCTACGGAGACTTGATCGACTCTATGTGGTGATTTATTGTAACCGTGAATGAATCAAAGGACGAGATAAGATTAACGAGAACATTTATTAGCATATATACAACCAACTTGGATTTTACACGAATTGCGAAAGTATACCCCGACTTACGCGAATTCGACTTACGCGGTTATCGCTCGGTCCCACCTATCGCGTAAGTTCGGGGTATTACTGTATATACATACAACGATTGAAAACAAAACAGAGAAAATAATAGCGCCAATTACAAGACAAACGCACTAGTCGACCGGTGTGGAGGTTTCGAGATCATTTGAAACAAATCGAAAAATCTCTATCAAAAAGTAATGCTATACGGAAAAAAATGACCAAATGTTTATACCGTTTTCATAAAATAAGAATGCGTATGTCGTATTTCGATCGTCAGCTTATTTTTTACAAACTTACGTTTGTAAAAAATAAAAGTTGCCGCAAACTAGGCAATATCGAAGCAAATTCGTTCGATCATCGTCTGCTTGATGGCCATCGATTGCCCGTCATCGACTCAACGTCACTCTACGTCATATTCTTCGATGGAAAGTAGGCGGCCCGTTCGACGAGACGTGGAACGGACCGCCTACTTTCGGTCGAAGAGTACTGTAATTCCATCGAACTTTCATTTAACAATCCTGATAGCCACATAAATCGTGGACTGTCCGGCCTAATCTCGGACATATAATAAACCTACCTATAATTCGAAATACAGATAGTACTTGACTTTCAAACGAAATGCGTTCCTAAAAACATGCACAAAAATTAAATGTCTGAAATCGGAGGAACAGACTCGCGTGGTAGGGGACATTTAAGTACAACGTCCGCACTGGGGAGGGGATATGTATTGATAAACATTTTGTAATGGCAAATGGAGGATATTAGTATGATGACAACGTTCTAAAACTCTTTAAAAATTTCTTGTTTGAAATTAATTTTTATTATAATCATTATATTGTAGTATTTTGATCAATGATATGCAGCACGTTCTTGCTTATTTAATCGTTGCACTTTAATTAATACTTGTAGAAGTGCTGTACGGTATTAAATGTGCTCTAGTAGAACTTTTAATAAGAAAGGATAGTGGCAACAATTTAATATTTACATATAAAAGATATCGCTTAAAGATATATCAGTACTGTATATGTGAGGTCAGCCGATTAGGGTGAGGGTTTTTCGACAGCCGAGCGGTTCTTTCTGTCGTGTGGGCGCAGACTGACTTCCTGAGACAGGTTTACCATATAACCGTTTATTAAACATAGAAATTTTCCTTACAAATTACTTGTTAGACGAGGTAGCACCCCAAAGCGCACGGATAAAGTTCGAAATAAAGTTCGTAAAAGTCGGTTTTCGTCACTAGTGGATGGACGCTGTCGGTGAAACACTCGGTGGGCCCCGGGGCGTTGATTACGGCTTTCGGCGGCTTCTCGCGGACGATCCGACGAATCTGTCGATTGCTAGGAGCACCCAGAGAACGATGCTTCCACGATGTTCCAAAATGTCCTTTTTTTTCTAAGATCTGGAGCACGCCCGTCCAGGAGACGACACACCACGTATCCAAACACCAAGAACCAAAAACTACGAACCAAGAACCTTCGTCTCTTGAGTCGCACAAATTTATAGATTTTTTTACAGCAATCGCCTCTCCATTGGTCTCTCATTGTCACCTGGTGACAATTCGAAACCTAATGGAGGGCGCGGGAGAGGTTAACATAGCGACTGAATATGATCCTCTCTCGTCGCGTTTTCCTCGAATTTCTCCGTTTCCATTGTTTAACTAATTTACGAAAAAAAACAATTGCATTGTTTAATCGAGACACCTAATCCGTTTCCTTAGCGTCTGAAAAGGAGCTTTTTATTTTAAATCGACACCCATAATTCGGATCTCTCAATCGACCCCTGTTCGGGTCCTCACATATATAATATGTTAGTAGGATAGTAACGGCGAACCCGTGACCCGCGCGTCGATTTTGAGGTATGCTACCACATTGAAAGTTTAGAAAATATTAGGATTTTATAAATTATAAAAAATATATTTATTTAATAATTTTAAAACTTTGCATATATACAGTAACGTAAAACAAGGATCCTATAACTGCCGTGGAAAGTCTTAAAGGCCAGTAATTACGAACCTCAGAAAAATTATCAAATAAATAACAGCATATTTCCCATTAAACGAAATATTTGTTTCTGCTGTAATAGCATTTTCTTCTTTTCACTTTTACCTTGTATATTAAAAAGTTAAATAAACTTATGTATAAGATAAATAACAATAAAGTACAATTTGTAAGCACTTTTGTTGTCTTTTTAATTACTCAAATTAAATATTTTACCTGCGATTTAGAGTTACCGTACTAAATTTCGAATAGAATTTTGACCTACCTCCGGAAAAAGGTTTACCATCGCTGGTCTAGGAGTTACTTAATACAATGTTATCAGATCTTTTGTGGTAAATCGGCGAATTTTGTGTTTTTTCTTCTGTTGGTCTATTTTTAAAATTAGCCTCACCTCGACCGAAAGTATGAATAAATTAATGTACAATACCGTAAATCTGTTTTACAGAGTAAATTGCTCAATTTTAATATGAAGAGGGTGGCAGATCGAGCGTAACATCGGTATGGGGCGTGTAAAAATTAGTGACAAAATTTGAAGGGGGTAGGTAGTCAAAAAGGACTTAAAATTGGTGAAATCGTATTTAAATGATCTCCCTTTATGAACTCATTCAAATACGATTTCACCAATTTCCAGACAGCCAAAAAGAAGAGCTATAAAATCTCTTGTTAAAGTAGGAAAGTTTTCATTTATTTTTACAATGAATGTAATAAAATACAAAACAATATTTAAAATATTAAAATTCTAAATTAAACAGAAATACAGATGATAAAGTTAATTTTCACAAATGATTTTTATGTTATTGAAACCGAAATTAGTAGAAATCGTCACTGCTCAATAGCTCGAAACTTTTGTTTTTTTTTTTCGATTGAAAAATGTACGATAGTATGGATTTGGAGTATGAAAAAGGGAGTTGAAGACATCAATGAACGAGTTGTTGGAAAGTCAAGGATTGCCTGTATATACTGTACTACAGTTTGAACGAGGGAGACGTAAAATAAAAATTTAATCCTTTAAATAAACAGCATAAAGGCCAATAAAATATTCCTAATTACATATACGGTATTAATCATTAAATACTTGTAATAATTATTTAAATTATTTTATATTATAAGTTTTAAACTAGTGAACTACATTTTAATATAGCTTAATGATTTTAAAAAGAATATCTCTGTTAAGTAAACGAAAAGTAAATGTCTACATCTAAATAAAATTCGAACAGACTTTCCTAAATGTAATAATTTAATGCAGGCCTATATACAGTAAACTATAGAGAAATGTATAATTATTTGGTTAAAAATACCGAGCTTTCATTGGGCACGTTTCCTCGTCAAGCAGCTAAGTAAGCTAGCCAATGACATAGATTGAATAGTTCGTTTCACGCGAAACTATTGACTAGTTTATTTAGCTGCTTGCCAAAGAAACGTACAGTTTCTTTACAGTTCTTTAAGAAATTTACAGAAAATAAAATTTTCTGTAAATTTCGCTTCTTCCGTTTAAATTTTTCTTGATGATTGATACATAAATTAAGAAAAAAAAATTATAGCCAAAAAATTATTATAGTCAGATATAACACAACTGCATGAATCGTAGTATTATAATATCAGCCTTTATATCAACTGCAAAGTAGTTGCAATAGACATAAATACTCATTTATTAATTTAAGCAGCTAAACAACGACGCGATAACAAGTAATTAGCGTAAGTTTTAAAAAACCGCAGTAAATTTGCTGTATTTTACGCTGAAATAAATAAATAATGATAAAAACTTGAAGTTTATATAATTTTTGTAAGACTAGATTATTTCTGAAATAATTACAAAAACAAATATTAATAACCCTGAGATAAAGATAAGAGGATCAACGTTTATTGACGATTTTTTACAGATTCCAAAGTAACTTTAATATTAAAAAGATAAAAGAACAATTTTAAAATTGATTAAATTCCAAAATATTATCGAATAGATTTTTCTTATTTTCAAAATTATATATTTTATTTACAAAATTTTTATTAAGTTATTTATTTTCTAGAAGTAAATATATTTATAAAACTGATACATATAAATTTAGTCTGTCTCTGTCTGACATACATTAATCATTGTTTATATTTTAATGAAATACACGTTTTAGTTACCGATTGACCTACTGCATGCGACTTTATGGACAACAGATAAAATAATAGAAATTATATTTATTATATATGTTATCAATAAAATGTTTGTCCCAGAAAATGACGTTCTAAATATTAACAGGTGTACGGGAGACACGCATTATCTGTAGGAAGATCCCGACCACCTGTCACTATTCTCGACGTCATTAGCATTTATACTATTGCGCATCACTCTTTATTTTTAAATGTATTAACAATATGGTATGCTAAACTGATTCTCTTAGGTAAGTTAAATGCGATATTCCAAAATAATAATTATTAGTTATTTCCTTTAATTATTATAGGAGATTAATAATTTTAGTCCTGTTTTTGTTTGAAAATTAACAGAGATAAATGGTAAACGAGATTTATTAATTAATTTCAGTATCGAGTCACGTGATGTAGACGAATTTTCGATTCGTAAATGGCCGAAAATCAACTAGAAAAGTTATTTAAAGAATGCGACGTTCAAGGGACCGGTTATTTATGCCAAGAAGGGATGAGGGAGCTGTGCGCCCGCGTCAGTGTTTGCGTGCAAGACGCGGATGCCATTTTTCAGACCCTAGATACCGACGGAGACGGGAAAATTACTTTTAACGATATTTCTACGGGCTTATTAGAATTTTTGAATCAGAATTCCAATAGCCAAAAAGACGGATGCAAAACCCCGGATTCGGAAACCGATTTTGTACACGATAAACATCAATTTGTCTTACAAGCGTGGCAGCATTTTGCTACCGAAGTTGGAAAATCCGATAAAATTATCAGGTAAGATTTTATAAAATAAGTTTATCAATTTTCTTAATAATTATTTTGCCTTGTTATTTTGTAGAATAATAAATGAATTATAACATATTTTACTTTGTCGGGTAATTTTTAAAGATTTTAATTCGATTTTGCATATGAAAAATTACAATTCTCTATATAACTTCGATATAGTTTTATATCAAAATTTTAAGAAACTGTAGAAGATAATAATGTTATTGTTAAAGTCGCGAATCTTTTCAGTTTGACATCAGAGAGACATTACAGTTGTTAATAAATATATGCCATTTTCTTTTATTTTTATATACAGTTGTTCTGTAATCTTTATTAATTTAGTCATAAACTCATTTCATGCCGTATTTATCATTTTAAGTAAAATGAAAGGGTACGATTCTAAATTTCATTAATTATTATAAAATAGACAATTTCAATTTGCATATATTCTGTGTGATTTCCTCGACTTTTACATAGTTTATTTTCTATAATATTCTATGTAGCAAAATTAACATAAATTGAATGGTAATAAAATGATCTTTTTACAATATAAAATCGTTTCTACTCTGTAGCATCAATCATACGAATTGTCGATATTTAATCATTTGAATTAATTTGTAAATTAAAATATTAAAATTAAATTAATTTTAATTTATAATTATAAAAATGAACTAAAATTTAATTAAGAATTAAAGTGTAATTTAAGTGTGAGGATTTTAATCTTAATTATTTTAAGCTATATTACAGATTACTAATTAAAATTTGTTTTATTAAAATTACTCCTTAAAAAAACTTTAAGAAATGGAAATAAATAATATTTACGCTCGGATTAGTTTTATATTTTTACGCAGGTTTATTTTTAGACATTAATTAATTAATTAATTTGAAAAGCTTCAACTAATTCATTTTTGAATTCCATCGTAAAAAATTTTATAATTTATATACATATATAGGCCTCTTTTTAATTCTTTCTACCCCGTGGGCACTATTTTCAAGGCCCACAATAGGCCGGGGTGATGTATCCGGGACAAACCAATTCTTGGTTTTTCGACCTCCCGGATTCCATCCCGGATCCTCCAGAACGAAAAGTTGATGCTTTAACCTCTTGGGCCATCGGCCAGCATATTTTTTACGTTAATCCTCGTTAAATATGTTGCGTAGAAAGTAAATATAAGCAACACCTAGGCGATGAAAACTTTTCAATGTCGTTCTATTGTGTTCAAATCAACAATGAAACGTTACAACTATAAAAAAAGACTTAAAAATTTTAAATAAAACACTAAATTATAAAACAATGTTATAGAAAGAATTTTACAAAGATTTTAAAAATTAGTAAAATTATTTTTCCTATAGAATTTTCAGCATAATAATAATAATAATAAATTTTATTAATAGATCAAGATATAATAAATTTATCGAGTAAATAATAATACCAAGGAAATCATACTTGGGTAGAGGTATCGATGGACGATTCGACCATAAATGATACATCTACCCAAGCAAAAATTATCTTTTGAAACCGATGTTAAAACTATTTGCCAGAAATTATCGTTGGTTTGCAGCATTGAACTATTTTCAGTTCTCTACATCTAGCTGATGTTTGATCAGCAGTTTTCTCTTTTCAGTTAACGTTGCAAATATGGTTTATTGTGGATATTAAACTAGAAGTAATTCAAAATAAAATAGATTGAAAGTTATTTTTTAAAATAACTTTTTATGACGAACTAACATTTCAAAAATGAATTTACGCGATACGATTTGGATTTATAAATTGGTTTTTATAATACACTTCTCGAGTTTGTAGCGTTTATAATTATATTTTCAAATTTAATAAAAATTTTACTGATTTTTTTGTTATATAAAATTTGTTAGAAATTATCCTATTAAAATTTGTATTATAATTACAATAAGATAATTAAAATTCATGTATTAAATCATTTGTTGTAAATTAATTTTTACGTTTAACGTATTATATAAAAGCTTTTATATAATACGTTAAACGTAAAAATTAATTTTACGTTGACGTTTATTTTATTTCTGTTATCCTTTTCAATAATTAGTGAAAGTTTTATTGAATCGATAAATTAACTTTTATTTTTTACCAATTGAAAATAGATTTACAACAATTTTACTAAACGGCATATCGAAAGCGTTCGGTCGGCGGCCGTCTCTAAGCACCGACAGAACAGTACGTCATCTTCTTAGATCTTGATGTAATAACACAATCATTAACCAAAAAACAATTGATATCTAAACAAAAGCATTTGAGATGTAAAAATTGCACCAAGTAAAAATTATGACAATTTAGATCAGGGGTGTCCAATAAACGTATAAACAAAACCGACAAAGTGTTTTAATTTTTTTATTATTTATCTATTTCAACGGCATAAACTCAAAAAAGAAGTTTCACAAAGCCGTAAACCTTTATTCATATTTTATTTTTGAGTGGAAAGAAAATATTTTCAAATACTTGAAGATGTGTGAATGAGGAAGGATTACCAAATAAAGCTGAAGTTGTGACTCAAAGGATTATAGACCCAAATTTGGGAAAAGGAGGGAAAGATGAGAAAGGACAAAAGATGTAGTAGTGAGAAAGGTTAAATAGATCTTCTGTTAAGCAAATATGGACCCTTAATTAAATAATGGTCCTTTCTCTCTTTTCCCCGCACTTGGGTCTATAATCCTTTGATTCACTACTCCAGCTTTATTTAGTATTTTTTCCAACGTTGCAAGATTTGGCTACATTGCGCCAAATGTGGCTACTTTTTTTTGTTTGACGTAAAAAATATCATTTGGCGCTTTGGCTACTTTTTAGGCTACATATTATTTATAATTATATTAGTTGAATAAAAACGCACTTTAAAATGGTGTTTCGTCGCTTTTTATTAATTAGAGACCCAAATATAACAAATATTTGTGTTTTTCAAATAAATTTCCCTTGGACACCCCTGATTTAGATTATAGTCAAATGTTTTTCTTTGGTGAAGATAAGCTTGGCGCTACAAATATAAAAAACAATCCAGGAACGAGTTGCTTAATTAAGTTTCTTGGAAACATTTAAAATTTTGGTGGCGTCTTCAGTTATGATATTTTATTTTAAAAACTTTTTAATGTTTTTAATTATTATAAAATGGAAAAACGCTTAATTTTCAGGGTAGGGATTTTATAGGGATAGGGATTTATAAAAACTTGTAAATGCTAATAACGAATAAAATCGTCATTAAGTCCGACTCTATTCGAGATATGACAAACGGCTCTCCTTTATCTCCCTACCCCGTCGATCTTTAACCACAAAAATTTAATAGCATCTATGCCCCTAATACACAAACCTCACTGCAATTTTTTAGAAATTTTCGACCAAAAGCATATGAGTTATTAAGCTTCAAAGAGGGTGAACAAAATCGTCTCCCACATACACTAACATCCATACATACAGAAAAACCTGCAAACTTTTTAGCATTTCTCAATGTTTCAAGATCCCTGAGTTCAAAAATGTAAAAATCGGGAAGGGGTCATTTCTGACCGATTGCCGTATTTTCCCTCTTATATATCAATATTACAGAACCGGGAAAATAAAACTCGTGTTAGTATAGCCAACACCAAGCTTATCTTTACCAAATAAAAACTTCTAAGAAAAAAAAAATTGACCTTCGTCTAAATCAGTGATTTTCAAACTTTTTCGATCCACCGCCCTCTTTGTTCCATAAAGTTATGCCCAACTCCCCCTAACCCATTTTCTCTTGTGTGAGGAAGGATTGGAAATATTCTTAGGAAAACTTTTCTATGAATCTCACACTTTGTGCCCTTACAGTACATTGTTCTTAACATCTGGAAACCATTAAACGCAATGTTTCCTCTTATCAGTTTAACAGAGGAAAGAACGGGTTACTGAAAGAACGGCTTTCAGTAACCCCAATTTTGCCTTTGGTCACCGTTCAATACCCTGCCTCCAGCGCCCCCTAGATTTACTCATCGCTCACAAGGGGGCGTTATTGTCCACTTTGAGAAACGCTGGTCTAAATTGTCATAATTTTTTACATGGCCCATTTTTTTATATCTGACAAGTCAGATGTTTTTGTTAGGAGAATAAAATATACAAACGGAAAACGAATTAAAAATAAATAACGATTTGAGTTTCCCGTACTAATATGTAAAGAATAATAATAATTAATCAGTAGATCTACGTTATTACGTATTAAATGACTATTATCTTACGAATAATCGAGATCAGTTTTAAAATTTTGCGAAAACTGCCCGAATTTGAACTTTCGCGATAAAAAAATAAAAAATAAATAAATATAATAAATACTCAGAAAATTAAATTGTTCTATAATTTATACGTTTAAGTGTTCTGAATATAGTATTATAATATAGTATGTTTATGGGTTCAAAACGAAATTTCGTTCGTTTTTCTGAAATAAAAATTCCTTAAGCTGATAAATTTATACCGTATGTTTGAAAATAAATAATGATTTTACTAAGAAAATGCAAAATAGTTGCTAAATAGCTCGGGAGATATTATATTATTAATTAAAGTAATAAAAATTGATATAGTACTTGTCTGGATTAGATATTAGGAGTAAAATAGAGCCGAAACAATTTTATTGAATAATTTTCGTCTATTTATTAAGTTATGATTAATACGTTTTCGCAGCAAATTGAACAAGTAAGGAATGAAAGTTTATTCGAAAACTTAAAAAAATAACACGATTAACGAACAAGTGCATAAAAGCTAATAACGGCACTAGACTTTCGTCTAAATCAGTGAATAGACTTAATTAATTATGATATTTGATAATAAATTTAGACTTTTTCACGACAATAAGAATATCTCAAAGCTGTTCTTACATTTGAATTACGAATTATTTGAATTAAGCAATCTGCACAGAAGCGTGGTTCTATAAAGTAGTACGTACAGTACATAAAAATTATATATATACAGTATATAACAGTAGTAAATTTTACTCACTCATAAAATTATTTTCGACGCAATACGCTATTAAAGTGCA